GGGGGGAAATCGGAGGGGGAGATGAACCATGAGAGACTATGGACTCCAAGAAACAAACTGAGGGTTTTAGAGGGGAGGAGGATGTGGGGATGGGTTAGCCCAGTGTTGGTTATTAAGGAGAGCACATATTGCATGAAGCACTGGGTGTTATATGCAAACAATGAATCATGGAACACTACATCAAAAACTAATGATGTAATGTATGGTGACTAGCATAACATAATAAAATAAAATTTAAAAAAATAACAAGGGACAAAAAAAAAGAAAAAGAACACTCCATCCAACAAAAGCAGAATACATATTCTTTGCAAGTGTGCATAGACCATTTATTTGGATAAACCATATTCTGGATCATAAAACAAATCTGCATAAATTTTAAAGAATTCAAAGAATATGCAAACTGTTCTCTGTCACAAATATGTTATATTAGAAATCAATAACAGGAAGATATCTTTAAAATTCCCAAATATCTGGAAACTAGCATGCTTATAAGTAATACATGAAATAACAAAATCAAAAGTTTAATTAGAAATTAGAAAATAAATAGCTATAACTAATAAATTCAGTAAAGTTACAGGATACAAAACCAATATATAAAAATATTTTGGTGCTCATTTTGGCACACATATTCTAAAATTGGAACAATACAGAGCTTAGCATGGTCCCTGCACAAGATAACCCACAAATTCATGAAGTGTTCAATATTTTTTAAAAAATCTTCTGTATTTCTATGCACTAATAACAAACTATCAGAAAGAGAAATTAAAAATAACCCAATTTACAATTGCATCAATAAGAATAAAATACATAGGCATAAATTTAACAAAAGAGATGAAAGATCTATACACTAAAAACTATAAGATATTGGGCAACTTCGGGGCGCCTGGGTGGCTCAGTCGGTTAAGCAGCTGCCTTCGGCTCAGGTCATGATCCCAGGGTCCTGGGATCAAGCCCCGCATCGGGCTCCCTGCTCGGCAGGAAGCCTGCTTCTCCCTCTCCCACT